GGTTTGGCATGACTTGTTCTTGAGAAATCCATATTGACTATTACTTATAACCATGTTATCCTTTAGGTGCTTACCAACAGATTGTTTCTTATTATTTATTGAAGTTTGTCTTACTGGTCAGTAATTCTCTGGTGCCTCTTTGTTTTCCATTTTAAAGTTAGGTACAGGTTGTACCTTCCTTAACCAGGACTCTCTGGTGTGGCAACATCTATGGTCTGTCATGGATCATGGATGTTCCTTGACCACAGAGCCCAAAAACAGGGAGGTCTGGCGGTGGGGTAGGAGCACACTAGAGGAGACTGGCGACTCAGCCGGGAGGCCAGTGTCAGGGAGGTAGCATGGTGGGGAGTTCTGGCCCCACTGGCTGGGGAGCTCCAGCCCCAGCAGCAGCCAGGGAGCTCTGGCCCTAGTCATGGAGCCTGGCCCCAGCCTTCTGGTACTGGCTGCGAAGCTCTGGCCCTAACCACGGAGCCAAACCGCTGCGGAGCGCCAGCCATGGCACTCCGGCCCCAGCAGCAGTGGGGCTGGTGGCAGCTTGAGAGCCCTGGGGGGATGGGACAGCAGCAGGGCCAGGCGGTGCTCTAGCCCAGTGGCAGCCGGGCAGTATGGGCCATGAGGACAGGGACCTTCCCTGGTCTGACACATCCCCCTCATTTGAGACTGGTCAGGTCCCAAGGTTTCTAGACCAGGAAGGACCAACCTGTAACTATATTTGCCCTTGGTTCTTGTAGGACCTCATTCATCTTGCATGAGTTCTCCATGAGATAATTGCTGATGGTTCCAAGATAGCTTCAGCTAGTTCCTTAACTATCCTAGCCTGACTTTTGTCAGGCTTTGCCAGCTTGAATATATGTAATTTATCTAAATATTCTTTAACCTGTTCTTTCCATATTCTGGTTTGTTGTTAATTAATATTAATTGTGGAATCATTTTGTAGCCATTAACTTTTTAGGTGAAGTCTGAAGCAACATAGGCATAAAATAGCTCAACCTTCTTAGTGTCATCCATTATTAGGTGTCCTCCTTTATTAAGTGGACCTACATTTCCGTTTGTCTTTTTCCTTGCTTTTCATATATATTTATAACCTCCGTTTATTGCATTTTATGTCCCTGTTTAATGAGGTTAGGATGGTACCTAGAGACCCCAATCGAGATTGGTCTTATACTATTCTAGAAAGTCTGTCTATCCTTGGTGTGATGGTTGACAAGCAAACTCATATATTGTTCTCCACTTTTAGTCAGGATTGGAACTTTCTCTTCATAGTTATCATGGTAAAGAATTATGCCTCACATAATATGTTTCTGGAAACAGTAGCAACATATTTGTTGCTTCTTTAGCTAAAGTTGGGTACTATCCAGGAACAGTTGGTCAAAACAGACAATTTTTAGCGTATGGTCACGGGATAGTTTGAGCAACTGCTGTTCTGTTTTTCCACTCAAATGAATCACACAGTGAAAGTTGAGAATGGATCCCAAACTTAATCATATTCCTCCATGTTTATATTTTTAAAGTGGATACTAAAGCACTCTGCCAAAGTTGAAAGGTAAGCAACAGTACTGTCTCTTTTACAGTCAGTTGTTATGCTGCTAGTATCCAGAAATTTTATCTGTAGCAGAAACACATATGTGAGATTTCACAGATCTGTCTAGTTTTCCAAATCTTTATTTTCTTCTCAAAAGCTGCTCCTGTATAACTCACCTCAAATATGGTTTTATTGCCCCGTTGAATGAACAGGTTCAGCACATTCAACAAAGTAAAAATGTCTGCAAAGTATGCAAGCTTTACAAGACATATCAAGTCTGAAAAATTTGCAGTGTTTTTAAGATTGAGCACAGAAAGAAAATGTAGCAGCTCTTTGTGAATCTAAAAGGCTCTTTTCAACCTTCCACTGTCAGATTGCAATCACACTTTCATAGGAAACAATAATTTGTTATGTCCTGCACCCATTTTTAAACACAACTTTGCAAAAAGGAATGAATTCAAAGGTCAGGACTTCACAAAATTCACAGCTGCATTTAGCACAGAGCTGGAGGGAGAGAGAACCTTGTTTTAGTCAGGGGCCACTGACGCACAGAAAAATCAGTCTGGGCCACACACAAGCAAAAAGATAGCAATAACCCCTCACTACTTACTTGCTCTCAGTGTTCCCAAGGTGGGGAGCAAAAAACCTACCTCTTACTCATTCTTAACTCAGTGCATGCTCAGTGCTAAAGCTCGGGGCTTCCAGCCCACAAAGTTGAGATTTGCAGCGAGTCAGATCAAATTAATCTGGGAAACAGATCCGGCCTGCGGGCCATAGGTTTCCCACCCCTGATTTAGTATATCATGTAATTTGGGTTTAATTTTATTTGATGCAAGGTCTTGTTGATGCAACATATAGTGCATTACAATTACCTGTGGGGTTATGACTTGTATTCTTGCTACACTACCACTCCTATTGCTTGTCGTAGTGGTATCACTGAGTGTTCAAACAGCAACACACTTCACCCTATTCAGCAAGACAGTTTCATGAAATGATCCTTTAATTTGACTATTTCTTAACCTGTTGTCCATTTTGGTAATTCCTGACAAAACAGAAAACCCTTCAACATTTTCCCCAGACAGATATAATGAACAAAAACTAATAACTGTGCTACATTAACAACACCACTTCTTTCATCAAGCTGAATTACAAGATGTTCACATGTAAGAAGCCTTTCAGTTAGTTGGGATTTTATATCATTTGAAGACTCTTCAATTCTCCTGCTTACTGTGTTATTAGAAAGTGGTGAGATTTTAAGTTTCTTCACTACATCTTTGCTTATCACTTTGCACATTTCTACAGCAGCTGGAAGACTCAGTTGTTCGCCAGTGGCATGGGACTTTTTTACTCTTTGCAATCCAAACCACTGCTAAGAAAGATGCTTTCAAAGCCTTTTCTGGAACTGATGTTATATTTGTCATTTGAGTTTTCTGTCTATTGTATTCTTCATTATTTTATTTAACAAGTCTCTGAATTTATCTTGTAACTGCAGGTGCCTTGTTATGAGATGGTTTCAACTCTGCAGATTTAATTGATTCGTTTGATAGGATTCATAAGCATACAACACATTGCAATTGTTCATCACTAAATTCCATAAAATCAATATAACTTTGGTCAAATTTTGTTCTTAATTTTTCTTACTACTTGAGTCTACATTGTCTCTCATTGCAGGAAAATTAGCAGTACTTGTTGAGGACATTTTCATAAACCTCTCTGTTTTGAGTATAATTTACTTGTACTTATAAAAATATATTCTATTTCCACCTGCCAAAGATGTCTCAGTTATAAAACAAACAAACAAAATAGGACATCACTTCTGATTTGCTGTTACATTGTTCATACACCATGGAATATGTTGTGTTAACAGAAATAGACAGTTTCAGTTTTAATCATTAGGCAATGCAGATGTGCAGTGAAATTATTTTTTTTTAATTTTTCTGCAACCTCTTAGACAGTCTGTGTGCTCATACACCCCTTCTCACAGAAGCACATAGTTACTGAAACTCCCATACTTCTCCATAGACACCTCCTTATGACCATGTTTCTTCTTCATAGATACAGGCAGTCCCCGAGTTACGCGGATCCGACTTATGTCGGATCCGCAGTTACGGACGGGGTTTGCTGCCCGTCTCCCTGGTCTGCTGAAGACCAGCAGACCAGGGAGACGGGAAGCAAAGCCTCTGAGGACGCCGGCAGCGGGACAGCAGCGGCGCATCTGGGCTGTCCGCTGCCCGCGTGCTCCCCGGCTTTGCTCCACGTCTCCCCAGACCAGGGAGACGGGGAGCAAAGCCGGGGAGCACGCAGGCAGCGGACAGCCCAGACGCGCCGCGGCTGGCCCGCCGCCCCCC